TGATTACCCCCACATCTCCCATTCCCCCAGACGCTGCCATGACCTTTATGGAATTAGCGGGTTTCTTATGATAATGGTAATATGATTGATCAAGGTGACCTTTACGGAATTGTTAGTATAATTTATAGGTATCTTAGTGGTCCTTGACGTCTATATCTTTATTTGTCTGACCATTAAGTGTATATGACGGTATAGCAATAATTTTGTTGTGGAAAATGAATATGTTAGGTTAGGACCAGCTGACCTCGGCAGCCGACCAGCTGGTTTTTAAAACCCAGCTAAGCTATATATACAAAGTAATCAGACAGCTATCACAGCAAACTCACCTTGTTAAACCGGTTTTTGTAGGTTAGGTTAGGTAAGGTTAGGTTAGGTTAGGTTAGGTTAGGTTAGGTTAGGTTAGGTTAGGTTAGGTTAGGTTAGGTTAGGTTAGGTTAGGTTATTTAAGGTTAGGTTAGGTTAGGTTAGGTTATTTAAGGTTAGGTTAGATTAGGTTATTTAAGGTTAGGTTAGGCTATTTAAGGTTAGGTTAGGTTAGGTTATTTAAGGTTAGGTTAGGTTAGGTTAGGTTATTTAAGGTTAGGTTAAGTTATTTAAGGTTAGGTTAGGTTAGGTTATTTAAGGTTAGGTTAGGTTATTTAAGGTTAGATTAGGTTAGGTTAGGTTAGGTAATGTTAGGTTAGGTTAGGTTATTTAAGGTTAGGTTATTTAAGGTTAGGTTATTTAAGGTTAGGTTAGGTTAGGTTAGGTTAGGTTAGGCTAGGTAAGGTTAGGTTAGGTTAGGTTAAGTTATTTAATGTTAGGTTAGGTTAGGTTAGGTTAGGTTAGGATATTTAAGGTTAGGTTAGGTTAGGTTAGGTTAGGTTAGGTTAGGTTAGGTTAGGTGAGGTAAGGTTTGTCAAGAAACAAGTGCTTCCTGACTCGGGTCTTAGTCATATCATGACCAGCAACTGGAGCTTTTGATCATCTGACCGAGGCCTTCCACTGGCTTACCGGTCCACCCCTTTAAAAAAATATGGTTATAAATACAACCATTATTACCTATTAATCACTGGGATTTGTTGAGTTACAACGTTAAATTATTGCTCGGGCAATAAATAAATTAAATTTCCTCATTCCTTGCCCAGCCAGTAAGTCAGATGTGAAATTTCCCTGATAATTTATCCAACTTTCGAAATAGGTGAAAAATTCAAGGGAAATTTGTGACCTTAACACATGACGATGTGTTGACCTTAACACATGACGTGTTGACCTTAACACATGACGTATTGATGTTACTATATGACAACGTGCTGACCCTAACACATGACGTGTTCATGTTAATATATGACTACGTGCTGACCCTAACACATGACGTGTTGACCTTAACACAACGACGTGTTGACCTTAACACAACGACGTGCTGGAGCGGTAACATTATTGCCGTACACAACTTTTCCTACTTCGCTAAAATCAGTTTAATCTCAGAAATTTCCATGTTGGATATCTGACCTGTTCTTAGAGAGCTTGAAGAACTCACAGGTAAGGACCCACAAGGGCAAGTGGGGATAGATGAAGAATAAACCTATTATTTGAGATTAGGTTAGGTAAGGTTTGTCAGGGAACAGGACAAGTGTTTCCTGACTCGGGTCTTAGACGATGACCCACAACCGGAGCTTTTGATCATCTGACCGGGGCCTTCCACTGGCTTACCCGTCCACCCCTTTTAAAAATTGTGAGTATGGTAATAACCATTTGTTCTGTTGTTTTATTTGAAACATTAACTGAGTATATATGAGGCAGTAGTTGGCCGTTTCTTCAACATCGTGAAAATTATTCACCCTGTTGAAGAATTGGGACAGGAAATTTGCGGGACCTCTAGAATTACGTGTGGATGACGGAAGATAAGAAGACTACGTCATCACTCACACAGGAAAGTGTACCATTAGTCCTTCCATTTAGATTTCTCGCTGGATAGTGTAGGATTCTATTTGTTAGGCATGCACTGTGGTGTGATCCATCTACTATTCTATTCTATTTGATTCGCCGGTATGGTATCCCGGCCCGGGTCTTTTCCATTTTGGTGACCCGGCATTGGCTCCCCGGGTAGAGAGGTGTCCTTTATCTTCTCTTGCACATGCATGGTAGTTCTTCAGCGGGAAGGGGGGGGGTACCTCACCGGCTCTATGGCCAGATGACGTACCAAACGTTAGTGTGCACTAACGGCGGCTGGTGTGCGGTGCAGTGGAGGCCCAAAGCAGGCCCTCAATCCATATACAGTAATTAAACAGTAAGTGGTAATACGATTTTTTTCCTAATAACACAATTATAATTTATGTACAATAATTATATTCTGTGTACCCAGCAAGCCAAATCATATACAGTCGACACTATTTTATAATTTACCATTATTGATATTAATGTTTAATATTGTACTTATTAATTTAATATTAGGTCTAGCTTTTTGTGAGAGTGGTGATGTAGTGGACGTCGAGGGAGTGACAGTTCTGCGACCTGCTATGACTAAGTCTCACTTACCTCACCCAAATTACTTGCACGGAATAATTCAGGCAATACCCTGTAAACCTCATGCACGTAATTTCTCACATAATAATTCATAAAGGTCTTATAAATCAAAACAATGCTCCAGTAATAGGAACAATCTTGATCTGAAAAGTGTGTTCTTCAGTGTTGAGTTGCAGCAGGTTCATGGGTGGTGTATGGTGGGCAACATGTTGCCTGCTGCTGCGGGAGACAGCACTGGTGCTGCAGGAGACACCACTGCTGTCAACACTCACTGAAGAGTGTCTGCTGTTCTTGGAACCGTAGGCACACTACGCTTCACCCCAACCCCCACCCATACATCAGCAATAATTCTATTAGACTCTTAAGTTTGCAATGTGTGTGATAAGAAAACTATACCGAGTAACTATACACTTCAACAGTGAACCACCATCCATATAAGACGATAATAATGTTTATCTCAGGACATTATACCAGCATCAGTTTCCTGACTCCAGAGTATATAAAGCTGACACGTCATTATCAGGGATTAGGCAACATGTAATGCTAAAAATATTCCCTTAAGATGTACGTAATCGTATGTGAATAAAAAACATCTCGTGGAACTGTAAAGAAAAAGTAACACTTTCCTACGAAGATATGTTGAAGGCACTGAATTTACCTTCTGGAAAGGCGTAGAATTAGTGAGGATACGAGTGAAGTGTACAAATAAAAAAAAAGGAGCATCTAACCAAGATAGGATTCGCAGAAATTGATTCGAATTGAATAATATTAGGTTAAGAAAAGATACAGGGAAATGCTGGTCGTTTATTGGATCAAACTCCCAAGTCGCGTCACGGAGGCAAGAATTTTTGGTAGCTCTAAATATACTGTAAGTGGGACAGGTATGTGAGTGTGAACTGATCCTGCCCAGCATGAGTTAATAGACCTATTTCAGTGCTTCACTGTTCTTATATTAAAGTGAACTCTATCGGAGTGTAATATTTGAAGCAAGCAAACACTTAACAAGTCCTTTCATAGGGCTACCTTGATGGTAGTGAAGAGCGTTTAATCCAGTTAGTTCGAGCTACCCTCCATTATTATAATCATGGGGAGCGCTAAACCCGTAGGATTATACAGCTATCCACCTTCAGTTCAAACCTGATTACCCCCCCCACCCTCTCTACCATTCCCTAACGCTATGACCCCCTATGGGTTTAGCGCTTCCCCTTGAATAATTGATTATCCGAACAACGAGTCCGTACTGTAAGTCGTATAACAGATTTTTGTTCTTGTCGGACTGTATCTGCAAATTCATGATGAGAGCATTACTTGCATACTTCTCATTATGTTCACAACTAATCCACAAATTGACAAAGAAACTTTAGACGACGTTCTAGAACATCTTGAACAATTACTAAGTCAACTTTGTAATGGTTTACTACTAAACAAAACGTCTCGAGTTTCTCTTCCAAATTGTAAGTTGTGGATCGTCCCAGCCACGGTACTGTCACCTTCATTGTTCTCATGTCGTGTTTTTATTTCTGATTCTGTATTTGGTATTAATAAAACAAGTGTATGTATACGTATATATATACAAAATGGTTTATTATACATATGTCAGCATCAAATGGCAATGTAGTTTTGACAACAACTGTGCAAATGGAAAGTGAAATGAAAGCTGTAAGACGTCATCTGCCACACAAGCATCTTTTTTTTTGGTTTATTTTTACACCTGTGAGCAAAAATTATAGTCTGTGGTTCAAGTTTGGGAACACTGCGTTATTTGCTTCACTATCTCAAGGGATGGAGACTTCATTGCAGATTGAAGCAACTAAGATGCCTGCAGGTGTTGAGTGAATACTGTAGGTAAGACTCAACAAGAGAGAGAGTGCTTGGACTAGTGTATAAGCGACGTAAATATATCTCTCCCTGATGGTAAACTAAGACAAAATAATTATGTAGTCACCGGGAGAAGAAAACTTCACTCACGCACACTGTATGCTATCACAAAGAATTAAACATAAGTACATCTCTTACAAACTTATTTCAGCCTTCATTGCACACAGGCTTTTTCGAAAGTTTATGACATACACAGCACAGAAAGACTGTCTTACATGATGTGTAGAATTTCTGACCGTCGCTTAGACTACAAGACAAATTAGTTGGTGTCTGAGATTGAATTTCTCTGAATCCGCGTCAATATTCTTATCAAACCCGTGTGACACTAAATGTCAACAAATACTGGAACTCGAAGATGTTCAAACGCTGAACTTTGTCATAATTAAATGGCCATCACAATAAATTAAGGAAAGCATCATCATGCACGATGGCTTTAACCCATCATAATACTTAAAAAATTTGCGAGAATGTAAAATAATTCTAAAATTACAATATCACTTCTTATTTGTTTTCATATATATATATATATATATATATATATATATATATATATATATATATATATATATATATATATATATATATATATATAAAATATATATATATATATATATATATATTGTATATTAGTCACTGAGTTTCACTTCGGATGTCTTACATATTTATACAACATCCGAGTTACTGGTATTACCCATGAAGACGTGTTATTTACGCCCACAAGAATTAAACTGTCCCACAGGTATTGGATAAAACGTATAAATTTCCCATAAATAATGGGTCGAAATTTATAAATTACCCACCAATAATGAATAAAAATATATGAATTACCCACAAATGACAGGTAAAGCAAATTACCCATTTGTGAGTAAATATCTATAATGGGTATCTGGGCTACGGGTAAATAAGCGAGCACTGGCGTGAGTCCTTCATGAATATAATATAATTTAAGCCGGATTTATGACACACGAACCCTCAAGGATTCACCACATGTCTGTTGAATCATCAGTCTGGATTTCTACAACTTCGCCGTTCAACCTGGAATAAGAATGAAAGACAAATTAGTATCTGCTCATCACCATACGCAGGTTATAGCACTATCTTGCGATTTACTTTAAGTGATATACGGTTTATGGAGTGATTGTTATCGCGATATCAGAGTATCCAGGTTGAACCTATCAGCTTGATTTAATTCAAATAAAAAAAATGCGTCTACTGTACTATTAGCGATTATTTTACACTGACCAATTTCGAGTTTTGTCAACTTTTGGTCAATATTATATAATATAGAGCAATCATGTGTACAGTTTATAATTTGTGACAGATTTTATCACTGTCATTTTCAAATGGTTCCGATTTATTTTTATTATTATTGTTTAAAAATTTTTTTATTATCGTATAGTAGTTTTACTCTACGGTATCGTCAGTATCAGTTTGTATTCTATATAAACTTTGACGTGTGAGTGTGTCGTACCTCTGAAGCTGGCCTCGGGAATCTGTGCGATGGAACACAATTATATTGCCAGAGTTGTTTCTCGCAACTGGAGGATGATTATTTTCCTCATTAGAAATTCTACGGATACTTTGGTTCCGAGTAAGCATCCCTAAACCAAAGGAAGAGGATGACGAGGCAACTGACTGGCTAGAGTCCTGCCGGAGTATAGAAACTTCGGGAACGGCCTCAGCTCCGCCAGGATGGACGCTGGGTCCTGGTAGCACCGGGTCCTCGAAGTTTACGCTTTTGGGTGAAGACGCGACGGATATGGATGACATGCTGCTCTGTTTAGAGTCTGACCGTTGGAAGGGCTTGATTTTCTCCTCGAAGTCTGGTAGCTGCGGGATGTCCAAGAACTGTTGCGATCTCTGCGACGCAGACCGGAAGTTCACGGATTTGGTTGATTTTTTTGAATCTGTTCTCATCATAAAGTTCGGATATTTCCAAGGGGCCTTTGGAGGCTCCATTTCGAAGGCGTGGTTATCGATGCCGGGTGTGATCCTGGGTTCATTCTCCTCTGTCGCTTCCTTTCCTCTTTTGGACAAACGTCTGAGGAGTCTGGAACCAGCGTTGAGTCCAGCATTGAGCGGCTCTTCCAGACGAGGTATCTTGAAGCGACGTTTTCTCGTGTCGTGGGAGTCTTCGATGATGATGTGACGGTCGTAGGGCGTGTCGAAGTCCACTTCCAGGATGGTTGAGAATTTGTGTGGATAGATGCAATCCAACATGAATACGATTAGTCCCGATATGGTTACAATGCATCCTGTGGATTAAACAGTGTATAAACGGTATGTTTGCAGTGTACAGCATCAACAGTAAAATAAAATTTAAGTAATTTTTGTTGACTTTCACAATCAGTAAATTACAATAATCAAAGTTGCGAAATGAGAGTTATAACGTAAAAAATGAACTGCATATATATTTCGCAAATTTAAGCAAATATCAAATATACAACGTTCATAAAAAAAAGGCACAATACCGTGACTGGAACGATACACAAATAACCCGCACATAGATGAGAAGACTGTAAATGGTCCAAGTCGGACCGAAACGTCGTCGTAAGCTCCTCTTTTCTATGTGCGGGTTATTTGTGTATACAACGTTCTCATGAAGACTAGTGATAGCCACTTACCGACAACGAGTGTAAGCCAGAAACACCATCCCAGGTGGAAAGTGAGGGTAGTGTCTTCGAAGCGTATGTCAAGGGGTTTTGGAGGCATGAGGAGGTAGAAGACGAGGTTTGAGAGCCCCATCAGTGACCCGGTCACTGTCATGGTGTAGGCACCGTAGCGGGGCACATTCACCAACAGGATGTTCATCAGTAGCCATGACGCAAAGGCTGACCTGCAAACGACAAATAGATTATTATTTTATGTGAAGCTCAAACCCCATATAGGATTTTATCGGAGCAAGATCTCAAGGCTCGACCTTTCATCCACTTATCGCCAGATAAACGGCTCTCGCAGCTAAGCATCCCATTTACTAAATAAAGTGGGGGTGAGTTGCAGCCTATTCCAGCATGTCTAAGTTAAGGTAACAAAACCAGGGCATAGGGCATGAGTTGTAGTGTATGGTTCACTGAGAAGTGCTTGATCTCAGAATAACGAAATGAGGATAATGTAATTACGGGAAATGGTGTGAAGTGTAACTTAACACTAGGTATGTACGTCGTGTTGAATAAGACAAATCGATAATTTAGGTTTATAAAGCAATAATAATCAGAGATTGTGATTATTATTAGCAAGGGGAGCGCTAAACCCACATGGATAAGCAGAGAAAATTTGTTTATGCAAATACTTCGCGAAGATCAGTCTGACAGTATATATCATTAACGTTAAATAACACTAAATAAATTTAGACTGATCTATGATCAGTATCATCATTAGGCTAAATTTAATTGTTTATTATTGGTTAGGTGATATCTAAGTTAGTTCTGATGCAGAGACCTCTCAAGGGAGGTTCCTGGATACTGGTGAGATGCTTTTAATCCAAGGAATTGATGAACCCTGCCCTCACTTCCTTGGATGGATTATTATTATAAAAAAGCGCTAAACCACAAGGGCTATACAGCGCTTTCCTTGGATGGAACCTGAATGTCTCCCATTCTCCCTAGTCGCTGTTTTGACCCCTAAGAGTTTAGCGTTCCCCATTAATGTAATAATGAGACAGGAAGAGAGTTGGAAGCATGGATGCAGAAGACTGACCATAAACAGATGGTGGTGTAGTATCCTGCGCTGCGGTAGTATCTGCCCCAGGCGAAGCCTTCGTTGTCTAGAGTGAGGTACTCAGCCACGGTGAGTATGGGGTATGGCAGGCCCTTGACCAGCGCCTCTCGGTAGTGCTTGCGCATGTCACTGGGCTGGATCCAGTGGAAGCGCTCGTTGAAGTTGATGTCGAGGCTGCGGTTGTGTTGAGGGATGACCCGCATGGTAACGTTGGCGTGGTCGAGGCCGATGGCCACGCCCAGGGTGGCGTCGATCTTCTCAGAGGAGAAGGCCCGGTAAGACGACCTGATGACACCGTGGGCCACATGCCAAGACGACCCCACATTGCATACTGTGGAGGAACATACCACATTATCCACACATGCTACTATCTATTACGCCACACACTAGAAAATATATGTGATGTTAAACCTATGTAAGTTAAGTGGTAAAGGCTTAGTTTTGTCGGTTTATCCTGGATACACTGCCTACCAACACAGATGTGTGTGTGTGTGTGTGTGTGTGTGTGTGTGTGTGTGTGTGTGTGTGTGTGTGTGTGTGTGTGTGTGTGTGTTTTCTCTCATGAATTGAGTTTTAAAGTAAAAATATTACAGTTAATGGGACTCTGTACTCTATAATGTTTGGTTCTCTGTAGGATTACAGTATGGATATTTGCAGTGTTATAATATTTAATATATAAACCGAGACGTTTTAACGGTCGTTTACAAAACGCCACAAATTTAATGAATAATTTGCAAAAGAAAAACTGATGACTGCAACATAAAATTAGAAAAACAGAGACAGTAAACATATACAGTGGCTTGATGTCCCTCAAACGCGATAGTAAAACTGTTATTTCTGTCTATATTTTAGCTTGGTACTGGAAAGCTGGGACAAGAACTTGTCTGTGACGTCACCACCCGGGGCAGCATGATCAACGTCAGTAATAATTTCAAGTGGTTCTGCAGATTCTCAAAAGTTTGGATGAGTGGGAAGCTGTGTGTGACACCTTCAGTGTTAGTGACAAAGGTATTGACAGTGAAAGTGGGGGGCGGGGGGAGGGAGGTTGCCCTTAAGAATACAAAGGCATAAGTTTTAGTCGCAGGTTATTTATGCATCATGTCCTTACCTACGCACAACCCTCTATCCATTTTGCTTTATTATACCCCCTTACACCCCCCCCCTCCTTCCTCGTTTCCCAAATATTTCCTTAATTAATGTAAGACTGTCTTTGCCCCCCCCCCACTTGAAGTACATGTTTCCTTTAGAAAAAATGTTTACAATGCTCGACATTTAGAAATGACCAACCAAGGCGCTGGAGACGTATCAGTGATTGGTACTTGTTTTGGTCCACTACCATTACCGTCACCATCACCATCATGTTACCACCACTAGAAAAACCACTGCCAACACCTGTCTGAACAATCACCAGAATCGCCATCATCCTCAGCCATTTTCACTGACACCATAAACATTAATCTTACTACAACCACAACAATCGCCACTTCCACAACTATTGCTGCTACAACCATAAATACTACAGCCATCACACCTACCCCAAAATGTGGTTGGCATTATGAATAATACTATCAGTACCAACATTCCCAGTATTACCACAATCAAACTACTACCAGCACAACTATTATAACAATTATCTTAACCACCACCATTACTACCACAGCACTAACTCAGCAGTTGTAATAACGCAGGCGGGAACCTAAAATCTCGGAGCCCTTGGTGAGCCAGCCACAGGAAGCCAACACAAAGATGTGGACTCCTCACTTCGTTGTCACCGCACCCACACACCTTCCCGAGATACTATATACGTCAATGACACACTATTATTACATGGTAAATATATCCTCCGGGAGCATAATTCACTCTTTAAGGTCGCCAGGAAACAAGTTACGTCATACCAAGAACAACAGCTGAACATTAAGTGGAATTCAGACACCCTCTCTCACAAAGTCTGATAAATATATAAATTCTCATACCTAAGTTCATTACCTTTGTAAATTGTGAGTTCATTACCTTTGTAAATTGTGAGTTCATTACCTTTGTAAATTGTGAGTTCATTGCCTCTGTAACTTGCTCAGCTATCAAAACTTTGGAGTCCAGTCCCTGGACCAATTATGTACCTCTGTAATCTTTTGACTACCGCCCACAGGATGGGTATGGGGTGCATAATAAACATATTAAACTAAACTAAGAATGACATTCAGGGATTTAAACAAAGGAGGCTCAGGGTGCTACATACAATATAGGTTACCTCTCATGGTAGGTGCTCTGATACTATGATTCAAGGGTCGAACTTGATTGCCTCCAGTTCCTCATGAACTACATAACGTTACAACTACGAGATTGAAGTTTTTCCTTTCCTCGGTAACAACAAAGGTTCTACCAATTGTAGAGTGGACGGCATCCTGGTGCACCTCAAAGATGACCGAAGAAGTTAATTCGTTTGCTGAAAGGCTGGTATGTGAACTAATAAAATTTGTGGACACTGAATCTAAATTCACGGCACTATGAGAGAAGAGACATGATCACAACATACAAGAATACTCGGATGAATAGACCAGGTAGAGAGTTCAACGCAGATGAAAGCAAAACAAAGAAACAGTATCTAAACTTACTCCCAGTTCAGTACATCCACACTTACTACTGTGCAATCTACATCTACAGGGCCTTAAACTCTAATATCAACCTTGACCTAAAACGCTTTCTTGATAGTTGTGACAGAACCCACAGGCATAACACCAGACACAAACATCTCTACGACATTCCCCGTGTCCGACTAAACCTTTACAAAAATTCAATGTATGTCAAAGCCCTAAAATCTGGAATACCCTACCTGAGAACTCTAGAACTGCAGACACATTCATCACCTTCAAAACTACCATTAGAAAACATCTTATCTCCCTGATACATCCCGTCAACTAACTACACGAATACCACCTGGTGGTTCACACTTACACTCACTCACTCATTTGACCATAAACAGAAATATTAATCTCAGTCTTAAAATAATGAATCCTATGATACTCCAATACTGAAACTATGTACTGTGCCAAAACAAAAGCATTCACATTGCTAAACTCACAAACTAGTATTTAGTCACTTAGCCATAATACCAACTTACCTCATAATTTGTAATATTTTACAATTAAGAATAAAACTAAGTCTGCCCGAAATGCCTAGCCATGCTAAGCGTTCTAGTGGTACACTCTGTAATCATTATTTTACTACATGTAAACCAAACAATAACCAAATTTCTGTAAACTCAGCATTGTAATCCTTATAGAGAATAAACTTTGAATTTGAACCCGCATTTAGGAGAGGATCCCTATGACATTTCGCTCGGTCCTGGACCATTAAGTCACATGCAGCCGATCACTTTAGGTAAAGTCAGCCAATTGGAAATTAAAAGGCGGACTCAAGAACTGAGGATCGAAACTTGCAGTCTTAACTAGGTAAGTACAGCTATGTAATTACACACACACACACACACACACGCATAATTATACACACAACTGATGTACACAGTTGCATACGCATACACTTGCATAAATACACACACAAGTGTAGTACACACTCAAACGATCACATTTACGCACAGGTGCACAAACTGTGCATGTGTATGCAGTGTACGTACTCATGTGCAAATGCTGACTCGTTTACGCACGCAATGGCAAGTGTGTGCAGACATACCAAAAAAAAAAAAAAAAAAAAAAAAAAAAAAAAGGCGCGTGCGGAGAAAGAAGCTGTGACTCAACCTTTGCACTTACAACTAGGCGCGCACACACACAGCCTATCTTTGAATAACATTATTATTATAATCCAAAACAAGCGCTAAACCTACAAGGGTCATACAGTGCAGAATTTGAATAATAAACAGCTTGGAGCAAGAATAATACCCAGCATCACGTCGGGGTCGTACATCAAGACAACAGCGTAGGTGTAGGAATTTGTTAGGCGTGCATAAGCAACCTGAAAATGGCTTTCAGACACCTAAAGAAGCATTCAGGACTATGAATTATGTCAGGCCTATTATAGTGTGTGTAGCACCTACCTGGAACTCACTCCTCGTGGAGGTTCCTTGATGCTGGGGAGGTACTTTTGATCTAAGGCAATAGACCTGTATTACAATTCCTCCAATCGAGCCTGAATATTTTCCATTCCTCCAGGAGCTGTATCTCATGTGGGTTTAGGGCCCCCCCCCTCCCGCTCCTCAAATATAATAATCAAGCATGTAACCAAGTTAGGGAAAGTCCAAAGATTCGCAACAAGACTTATCCCAGAGACGAGAGGGCTGACCTATGACATCAACGGAACAAAAATAAAATTGAACCTGACCTTAAAAGAAAGAGGAAGAACCAGGTAAGATAAGATAACGTACAATATACTCAGATGACTTGATAGAACAAAAAGTGAGTGAAAGGAGGGATTGAAAACAAGAGGGCATAACTGGAAGTTAAGACGCAAATGATGAACGGGGGTTAGGAAGCAATCACCATATACAGTTTCAAGAGTAGTAATCAGTAGAAACTAATAAAGCAATGGGTCAATAGGAGTTAAGAGGAGGGGTCAGGAGCTATAACCCTAACCCAACAAGCGCAACTAGAAGAATACACATGGAACACAACAACGCTCAGTCACACGCGCACATACAAACACAAGGTTATTAAATGATGATGGATTCCATCTGGTATTTCTTTTTCGTTCCAAAATGGTGATATCTCATTACATGTTATGAATGATTTTTTTTTTTAATATTTTTAATATTTCAGTTAATTTTCGGAGCGAGAAGGCTTTTCTTCGTAGATTTGAGTATATATATTTGGCTTCTCCCACCTGCGCCTCAAGGACAATAAACACGCCTCGTTGCCACTCCACTCTCACGATCCCCAATCGAGAAATTCATGGACACTGCGAGTCGGCGAGGAATGTCCTAAATTCAGTGTTGAGCATGACTAGGCGATGCTAAAAATGAAGCACACTGACTGCCAATATTCCTTCCCGATCCACCCAAGAAAATGATATACATAACCACTGCGACTATCCGAGGACTCGAACCCATTTCGTTTTGGCCCGCTTCATGGTGAACGAAAATCACATAACGTTCTAACCCACAGTACCACCAAATCCTACAAAGAATCACGTACCCAGCAGAGCTAGGTGTTTTACCGTGATCGGAGGACATACGGTAAACACCTACCTCTGCTGGGTGCGTGACTGTAGGATTTGGTGGTTCTGTGAGTTAGAGCGTCATGTGATTTTCGCTCAACATGACGCGGACCAAAACGACATGGGTTCGAGTCCTCGGCTAGGTTCAAGGGGATACTTAGCTATAAG